CGCAAGCCCCGGGAGACCGAGCTTGTCTGAAACGCCCGACTCCGCTCAAGTTCGGCCGGCGAACCCGATCAGCTCAATCCTGCGGTGTCGTCAACTGTCGGGCTCCAGTTTAAGCTGTGAGAAGCTGTGAGACGTAGAAGCACGCGTTGACGTTAACGCAGGAGAAGCTCATCAATGATAGGAAGGATGTCGGGTTGTCAGCTGCACCATGCACGCTCAGTTCTTCTCCCATATCCATCACCATGGCCGCAGGTTGCCGGCCCTGTACCCGCAACGGTTCGACCCCGATTTTGACAGCCCCGACCTCCCGCTCGGACCGGACTAAGGATTAAAAAGCTGATAAGCACGACTTGTCACAAAACACCTGCCCTCTGCCGTTACCGCGATGCACTCGGTTAACGGACAACTGGAGCATCGGGGCCGTCCCGCCCAGCCCAGAAAATGCGCTCCGTCACGCTTCGGCCGGCGATGGATGCCAAAACACCGCTCCCGGGCCCTATATCACCGTATTTTATTGGCACACTTTCCTCCGCAGCCAACCGACCTTCAACGTTCAGATACCCATCACCGCCTTAGTTGTCTGGCGGTGGGGGGAAGCTTCCGAAGTTGAAGGTCCAAGCGGCGACGAATGTGTGCCACACCACCACTTTTCTTCGAGATGTGGCATGCTACCCGGTTTCGTGCCCAGAATGTCATCATTCTGCCGCATCGTTCCTCGTTCAAACAGGAATCCTCCTTGAAAAGCTCCAATGGGGTCATTATGTGCTCGCCCTCCCGCTAATGCCAAGCCCTTTTATGTTTGACTGGATTCCTACCATCGGCAGCGCGGTTCGACGTCTATACTTGGCAGCCGGTAGTTTTCTATGCTATGGCAGGGCAGTCAAGTAAACCATAGTGTCCCAGTTGACCTCCGTTGATTCGAGAGAACTTAATGACCTCCACTGATGTGCATCATGCTGGTCTCGTCCTGGCAAAGTCCTCGTTTCCACATGCAGATTTGTTTTGTCGAGGACCCGGTAGTTATGCACTGTATGTCGACGTTCAAGAAAGAATGGGGTGCGCAGACTCGAATCAGTGTTCCTCTAGGTTTTTCTCCTCGGTTTCTCAAACTCAGTCCAAATGCAGATGGTGGATTTGATCCTCGATGATACTTCCAACACATACACTGCTTTATTTGCAAAACGGATACTTGGCTACCGCACTGGAAAGCTCAGCATGTCACATATCTCCCTTGCGCTCCGTTCGTGAGATCGGAGACCCCGCGGGGCGGGTACATCAGTCCTGTATAACTCTCACGTCTGAGACCCGGGCTGAGTTGGCGGTGTAGAGAGGGGAGACGAGCGCCGGGCAGAGACGCCGTCTAACAGATGTTTGAACTCTATCTACCGCCACACCTTTGTCCGATATATTCGCGAGAACGCTCGGAGATAGACGTCGGTTTCTTCAATCTTGCATCGCATAGATATCTCCATCTTCGGTATTCGTTGCTGCTGCGGCTCGACAGTTCAAGATATCGCGCTCGGCTTCCCCCTATTCTGCTGTCTAGAAACCAGACAGCATCCACTGTTGCATGCCAATCCAACGTCGGATATATACACTGATTCATACTTCATCAAATATCCAATGGCGTGGTGGCAGAGTGGTCTAATGCGCAAGACTAGAAATCTTGTTCCTTCGGGAGCGTCTGTTCGAATCAGGCCCACGTCGAAATCCGGTTGTCCGAGAAACCAACCAGACATGTTTCCTCGGGCTGAAGAAGGAATGCATCTTCAAAACTTTTATTTTTGGGGGTGCTGAACTGTAAAAGAAGATGCATCACGAGTGTGTGTATGAGACCTCTGTTCATCGAGCCCGGCACCTAATTTTGGTTTTTTTTTGTTGTCCCCTCCTTCCCAACTACTATCACTCCTTCCAAAACTACGGTCATTCCCGTGTCTTCCAAAGCGTACCCCGATGCGCAGAGCAAGCCTCAAACGGGCTGTTGTTGAGCAGCTACATATTCCGCCTGTCTTGGATCAACCAGTGTGGCCTTGGACTCGAGAGTCTCGAGTTTAGGAGGCCTTTCATTCAGCTTCTTCAGCTACATTGCACAGCTATGCATAAACGGCATGCCCGTACCTATGAATTCCGCCGTATTCAGCCTCCATACAGATTACACTCAGCTTGTCATTGTTTCCAGCCAATCAGGGGCCTTGAATGGCAGTTCATCTTGGCGGACCTCGGCGTCCCTAAGCACCTGTCCATTCAGGCAGGTCAACCGAACCAACGTGCTATCGGCGCCGGCCAATCAGATACAACATCCCCTGAATTCGCCCCTCTGCGATAGCAGATGGGAGATTCGACCCAGGGATCTCAGGTAGCCACTGCGACTCTGGAATCCACTTTTTGTCTGTTCGAAACCCACGTGGTTATCTTTTAGAGTTCCTATATAAGCTAGAGGGCGAACATGTCGGTCCAGTTCGAGATGGTCGCCTGCAGCCAAACCACGACACCGCCATGAAGCTCCTCGGGGTCTGCTGGACGACGGCCATCGGCCTGTCCTCGCTGACGCTAACGGCGGCGCTGACGATCGCCGACATCAACGGGAACAAATTCCTCTCCCCATATGCCGGACAGACCGTGACCAACATCACCGGTCTCCTCCTCGCCAAGGGACCAAGTGGGATCTGGATCCGCTCTACGACGCCCGACAAAGACGACACGACGTCCGAGGGCATTTATGTATTCGGCAGCAGCGCCGGGACCAACCTCACAGTGGGCGACATCATCTCCCTCGACGGGAAAGTGGCCGAGTACCGCTCCTCGCCAGATTATCTGTATCTCACGGAAATCACCTCGCCGAAGAATATCCAGGTCGTCTCCCGTGGGAATGCTGTCACGCCGCTCGTCATCGGGGAGGACACGGCCAGCCCGCCGACGACACAATTCAGCAGTCTCGACGGGGGCGATGTCTACCGCATTCCCGACGAGGGGAAACCGACAAACGTGTCGGTCGCGAACCCGACGCTCAGACCGCACGAGTTCGGCCTCGACTTCTGGGAGTCGCTGAGCGGGGAGCTGGTGACCATCCGGAAGCCCAGGGCCGTCCAGCGGCCCAACAACTACCGCGACACGTGGGTCGTCGGCGGCGAGTGGAAAGGGGTGTCGGGGAGGAACGGCAGGGGCGGGATCACCATGTCGGCGCGCGACTCGAATCCGGAGGCTATCGTCATCGGCTCGCCGCTGGATGGGACGAAGAACCCGACGTCTTCGAAAATGGGGGACGAGTTTGAGGATGTCACGGGCGTTGTGACGTATGCTTTTGGGTTTTACTCTGTGCTGCCGCTGACGGCGCTCAAGGTCAAGACGGCGTCCCCGCAAGACGCCGCCGCCACGGTGAAGGCGACGCTCAAGGGATCGGGGGATTGCCGCGCCTTGACGGTGGGGGATTATAACGTCGAGAACCTCGCGCCGGACTCGACGCACCTGACCAGGATCGCGGGGCATATCGTGAACGTGCTCAACACGCCCGATCTTGTCTTTGTCCAGGAGATCCAGGACGAGAGCGGCCCGGCCGACGACGGGACTGTTTCCGCGAACGGGACGCTCTCGGCGCTGGTGGAGGCCATCCGTCTTGCGAGCGCCAAGAACATATCGTACGCCTATGCGAGCGTCGATCCCGTATCTAACCAGGACGGCGGACAGCCCGGCGGCAACATCCGGCAGGCGTATCTCTACCGGCCCGAGATCGTCGGGCTGTATAAGCCGAGGCCGGGCGGGCCGGGGGACGCGACGGCGGTGCTGCCGGGGGGTGCGCTGAGTTTCAACCCCGGGAGGATTGAGCCGTTGAACGAGGCGTGGCAGGCGAGTCGGAAGCCGATCGCGGCGGCGTGGGTGGCCAAGGGCGGGAAGAAGCCGTTTTATACGGTCAATGTGCATTGGTCTTCGAAAGGAGGGGGCACGACGTTGCATGGCGATGCTAGGCCGCCGCTGAATGGCGCAGTGGGGAAGAGGATTGCGCAGGCGAATGTTACTGCTGTGAGTCTTGGTTTGCTTCCCCCTTTTGTTTCTTTCAGTCCACCCGAATCCTTCCTGTTGGCCAGAGCTTGCCGCTCCTCGAGGGCGTTCGGAAAGATTCGGGCGACGAGAGTGAGAGAATATATTGCAGGAAGGGAAACTAATACGGAGAAAAATACCAGACATTCATCTCCCAGGTCCTCCGCGAATCCCGCTCCGCAGCCGTCATCGCCGCCGGCGACTTCAACGAGTTCGCCTTCGTCCAGCCCATGCGCGACTTTGCTCGCATCTCCGGCCTGGTCGACCTCGACGAGGCGGCTGGGATTCCAGTCCCGGAGCGGTATACCTAGTATGTCCCCCCTTTTTGGGTAAACAGCCATGGCCATGTTAACGAGGCAACACAGTGTGTATGATATGAACGCCCAGGAACTCGACCATATGTACGTGAGCCCGTCGCTTGCGAAGAGCCGCGAGACCAAGTATCAGCATTTGCATGTCAATACCTGGGCGGACGCGGCCGGCGAGGTTTCGGATCATGATCCGAGCTTGGCGGTGTTTAACGTTTGTGATTGTTGAACTATGTATCGATGGGTTTAGAGAAATGTGTCTGCAGGTTAGGTGCCTACATCTACATGTTAGACTAAGAAAAGCATGCATTGCATGGCACTGGGTTGAAGCCATGTTACCTCTCATCTGCGTTGTCTTCCACCGGACTCTTGCTCGACAACCAACAGCCGGTCTTGATTGTGTTGCTGACATTGCCATGGTCTTGCATACACCATTTCCGAGCACATGGCTTTGATGCAGAGAATGATAATAGGGACACTGATGGCATTGAGGCAGTCTGTGCCTGCAACCTGAAATTTTTCGACTCACAAACATTCATCTCTTTGTGATATGCAACAAAAACACTTCCAACGGCCGTTGACATTGCTTTATTGCTTTAGAGGTCTTTGCTTTATTACCTTCATAACGCATCCATCAAGCATCGACCAAAGCAACAAAGCTTCATGGCGCAGCGGAAGCGCGCCGGGCTCATAACCCGGAGGTCACTCGATCGAAACGAGTTGAAGCTAGCTTTGTATTGTATTTTTTCCCCCGTGGGTATGAGAGAAAATCCCGACCCCTTTTTGGGTTGCCATCAACGATCCACACAGGTATCTTATTATGGTCGACTGGTGCAGCATGGGACAGAAAACACAACACATCTCAACCAACCCATCGGTTCAACCGGTCCGTGGTCAAATCCCCGGTGCCGTTTTAACCATAATCTCGCATGTATCCAGACAAAACACAACCTGATAGAAAGCAATTGGTGGCCGACACCACACACTCATACCCGTCTCGGCCCCTTCCCATCGCCATCGGCACCGCTCACTCCGCAATTTGCAATCACATGGAGATTGCCGTAGTCTCCTACCGGGCTCGGGGATTGGTGCATTACGCTATCCCCGACACGATGTTCCCTCAGTCTCCATCCTCTTCCCGGTCAGACCAACGGCAATGGCACCGGAATCTGGAATTATTCTGCCCGTTGACCAGTCCAGGGCTTGGCGTCCGAGCTCGATTATTCGCGCGGGTCGGTACCGGAAGCTTGATTAATACAAGCAAAAAGCTTGTATTAAATTGACTGCCTCCGAAACGGAGCGGCGGCGCTCGATCCCGGGTTCCGCAACTTATGCGCTCCAGTCCCGTGGCGCGGCTGCAAATTCGGCTCGGCTATAGGCGCGAAGCCCGGTCGTATTATTCCAGCAACTGTCCAAAAGGGGAAGGAATCGGGATGTAAGTGTGCGTTGGGGTAGGTAACATAAAACCAACCATCATACAATACAAACAGCCCTCGTCTTGATCTCTGAGTCGGGACTATACTTTGACCGTAGTCTCTCGTTGATCCAGCCAGCCAGCCCGCCGCCATGCTGCTCACGACGACAACGATCCTCGCGGCCCTCGCCACGGGGGCCCTCGCCGACAACCCCATCATCCAGACGCGCTACACGGCCGACCCGGCACCATATGTCTACAACGACACGGTCTGGCTCTTCGCCGACCACGACGAGGACGGGTCCAAGACGTACAACATGAAGGACTGGCGGCTGTACTCGTCGACCGACATGGTCAACTGGCGCGACTGGGGCGTCGTCATGTCGCTGCAGACCTTCAGCTGGGCCAAGTCGGACGCCTGGGCGGGCCAGGTGGTCGGGCGCAACGGCAAGTTTTATTATTATGCGCCCATGACGCGGCAGGGCGCGTCGTACGGCATCGGCGTCGGCGTGAGCGATACGATCACCGGCCCGTACAAGGACGCGCTGGGCAAGCCGCTGGTCGCGAACGGGAATATTGATCCGACTGTGTGGATCGACGACGACGGGCAGGCGTATCTGTACTGGGGCAATCCGGGGTTCTACTATATCAAGCTGAACAAGGACATGGTTTCCTACAGCGGGAGCGTGAATTCCATCAGCACGTCGTCGCTTTCTGGAACGTTTGCCGAGGGCCCGTGGGTGTACCGGCGCAACTCGACTTATTATCTCGTCTACGCCGGCAAGTGCTGTCCCGAGGACATCCGGTACGCGACGAGCAGCGGGCCGACGGGGCCGTGGAATGCAAAGGGGGAGATCATGGCCACGCAGGGCGCGTCGTTCACGAACCACCCCGGCGTCATCGACTACAAGGGCGGCTCGTATTTCTTTTATCACAACGGCGCGCTGCCTGGCGGGAGCGGGTACACGCGGTCGATCGCGGTCGAGAAGTTTACGTACGGGGCCGACGGGAGTATTCCGAAAATGGTCATGACGGACGCCGGCGCGCCGCAGATCGAGCCGCTGAATCCGTACGTGCGCGTCGAGGCCGAGACGATTGCGTTTTCGAAGGGCCTGTCGACCGAGCCGAGCAGCGACGGCGGAATGCATGTCACGTCGATTAATAATGGGGACTATCTCAAGGTGAAGGGGGTTGATTTTGGGACGGGCGCGTCGTCGGTGAGTCTGAGGGTCGCCTCGGCGAGTGGCGGTGGGAAGATCGAGATGCACCTGGGCAGTCTGACGGGGACCGTGATTGCGACGTGTGCGGTGGATGCGACGGGGGGCGCGTCGACGTGGAAGACGCTGACTTGTCCGGTCTCGGGCGCGACGGGCAAGCAGGATTTATTTTTCAAGTTTGTGGGGAGCGGGAGCGGGAATCTGTTTAACTGGAACTGGTGGCAGTTTAACAAGAACGCGACGGCTGCCTGATTGGGAGGGAGAGAAAGGTTGTGTATAATCTGTCAAGTTACAAAACGTCGCCGAAATAGGGGTATAAATAGTAATAACAGAGTACGGAGTACGTTGGCGGATATTGCGGAATGATACTCGGTTGGCTTATACGTATTATCCATCAGCGGTTCCCTCTAGAAGCCCCTTATTACTGGGGCATCTGATAGGGGTGCACGCCCTTTTGCTCCGGGTGCATCACCCCGCAATAGCGTTTTACGCAACTGCCCTCTAATCTACTGCTGATATTCTTCTAGAAGCTGAATATATATTTGTTATCCGCTTGTCTACTATATATAAGGGTTTTATACTTGTTAAGGCTGATGATAAAAGTGAAGATATATGGTACCTAAGTTTACTAAGTTTGCTAGAACCTGAAACGCGCCCATGTTGGTAAAGGCGTAGTAGATATTATGTCTCGTAGATAAAAGGTGAGAAAACCCTAGAATAGGTTGAAAGTAGCTGATTCAACAACTGCTTATAGCTGCTTATATGTTATAACATTTGTGGTTGAAGATTTCCTTGAACTTTATCATATAGGGGGATGCGTACGGATCAAAAGGGGGGTGTACTCCTATGAGATGCCTTACTCGGTAACCTTGGCAGTGATTGCACCGTCTACCGACGGCGCCATCTGTGACACTTCAGTATCTATCCCTTCCTCTTCGATTTCCTGGGCTGCCACAGGCAAGTCAACCACTCTCCTCCCCTCCGCCTTGAGCCAATCACTTGTCGGCATCTTTATTTTCAGCAGCAAGTCCGAATCCCTTACGCCTGCGTCCTCGGCCCAAACCAGCAGCCTTCCCACCGACATCGAGTTCACCGCAACTCGGAGACTGGCCGGCGAGAGCCGCGCCCTCAGCCGCGGGATGCACAGCATGTATAAACATGCCGTCGCCCAGGCTAGCCAGATGCCACAGCATATGTAAGCTGCGATGCCGTATTCGTAGCGGTACGTGACCCTTTGTTGGTACATCAACACCTCCCCTTGGCCGTTTGGAGTAGCGTCGAGGCGAGACTTGCTGCCCGCCATCATGTTCGCGGCAAGGTCGGTCCTGCGCAGGTTGATGATCTTTTCGGGCGTGTCGCTGAGGTTCTGCCAGCGCAGAGCGCTTTCTAGGTCGGTCGGGTATTGGTACGAGTATTGGTCTAGCAGCGTGCGAAGCGATAGTCCCGGGACGCGGGAACCTGCCTGTTCAGTGAGACGGGGTGTTAGTGTACGCTATGTGGTGAGACCGTAATAATGGTATCCTCGCACGGGCAGGAAACAGGAAAGGAGAGAGAAGAGGTTTTGAACTAACAAGGCTATCTCCATATCCGCTACCGTCGAGGTTGTAAGACTCGAGCGTCGCAGGCAGCGGCAGCGACTCTGCACGTATCGTTCGGATCCCCTTGGCGAACCGACTGGCCGATGTATCGTTGACGAGGCCCCACTGTAGGTTGATATCAGTGAGGTTGTAGCCCGGCCCGGGATTCTCAACCGCCCACAGAGGCTTGTCCTCGTCGCGGCTGTACGGCACAGGGCCAACCGAGAGGACTTTGAGTCTGGAGAGGGACGGCGCGGCGTTCCGTTCTGTGGCGTTGTAGGAAAACCTAACCCGTTTGACCGTCGCAGTAATGCCAATGGCGCATATTGAAATTGGCCTGGGCACAATTTTCATCTCGACTGTTGTATTGCGAAGACGAACCTGGACGGGAGGGGGGACGCTATAGAAGCATGAAACAAGGGGGATATCGGCAGAGGCTGCAGTGCTTCCGACATAGTTTCGGCATTTTCGGACTGTTCGTGGAGCTGCTAATCAGCAATCGACAGTTGGGGCACGATTCACGCAAAGAATTAGATCTTACGTGAAACCCGAGGCCACCTGAAAGGCTCCTCGTAGAGAGCGGTGTCACTGCATCCGTCGACCGCCTCGCGGCAACCGGCACCATCCAAGCTGTCCAACTCTGTGAAGGTGAAACTCACCATGGGAACCTGGTCAATTATCTGAATCAAGTCGCCGAAGAGTTGGTCGGGTCCGAATATCAGTGTTTGGGAGCCATTAGCCCCATATATTCGTGTTTGGGGGCCATTAGGCCTATATATTCGTGTTTGGGAGCCATTAGCCCCATAACCGGCTTCTTGAATCTTGGACTTAAAGACCGTAGTCGCGTTCAGCAGGCGTTGGTCAAAGTGATATTCTCCGTCGGGGTATGGTAGCGTCTGGTTATACAAAGATGCATGATCTTCGTACTCAAACCAGGCGTTCCTGTCGGTGAGCTGGTCCTCGTCAGGGAAAATTTGACTGGGCCGGCAGAGGATGGGTAGTAGGTCCAGTTAGTTCCAAGACAGCTCGTCACAGGCTCCATCCACAGCAGATCCTCCTCCCATGTCGCTCCGTTTACCATCTCCGGGGACGAAGGAACGGTGTGATTTCTGAAGCCCAAACCCCCATCGATGGCGTCAATCACAAGTCCTTCCCTCAGGTGGTATCCGGGTTCCGTCACAACCTGCCCAATGAAGGCATTGTAGCACCCAGTGACATTCTTATACGTCTGGTTCGTATTTGAAACCATCAACTGGGCGGAGAACTGACGAAAGTGGATGTCGAACGAGCTCGAGCGCAGGTCGCCTGGGGAAGATGTTCCGCTGCCGAAACACTCGGTGATATTCGTTGGGACGGTTGTCGTGAATACCACCTGAGAATCCTGTTGTTCTTCGGGTCCGGCGGTGGAAACGATACCAGGGCACGGCTTATACGCCCCCTTGCCGCAGCCGCGCGACAGAGCGTAGGACTCGCGGCCGAGTGTGGCCATACCCAACACAGACGGGTCCGGAACGTATGCAA